GTAACAACGAAACTGACCAATCACCATGCTAGATTCCAACTCCTACTTCACACATTAAACGCTCGCTTCCGTCTGAGACTCAGGAAAACAAGAACAGGAAATGAGGCCGCCATTAGGGGTAGCAATAGAACTGGCAATTCACCATGCTGTTCAGCAGAACTGACGATTCACCGTGCTAGAGAAGAAACTTAAAAATTTAAAATTTTTAGTTTCTTCTCCTGTTAGATTCACAAAATGTTTAGGGGTATGCGTACCCCTGTGTCTCCCCCCCCCCCGAAAAAAAAGCACTGGATCTGTTTAAAGGAGTGGGACCTCTGGCAGGAGGACTTGCCAGCAGAGCATGGGAGTGCAGGGAGAGTTAGTGTCATGAACTGGTTGGATGCAGAGGGATGGTGGGAGGAACTAGCTAGAGAACCACCAATGGAAGAAGGCTCCGAACCCATGAAGTGCTGGTGGGACAGTGATGAATGGTTTCAGGGAGAAGAGGGAAAGGACTGGGAAGAGGACATGTCAGAAGCTGAGGAGGAAACAAGAAGAGCAGGGAGAGTCAATGGCAGACGGAAGTCAAGAATCAGAAGTAGAAGCTGAAGCAGGAGAGTGGGTGGAAGAAGGCCAAGAGGCAGAGATGAGTCATCTGGTGAAGACTCACAGGTGTCTCCCCTTCCTGCTGCTACAAGCTCCCGTCTCTCTTTGTGTCTCAGAACCAGAAGAGGCATGAAAAGGGTGAAGAAGAGGTCAGCTGCATGCAGGCACTGTCTCCAATTTTTGGGGGGAAAGCCTGGAGACGAGGGAACTCAAATGAATGTGAGGAGTGGAGACTTTCAGTCTTGGCAACTGATTTTCACGGAGGAAAGTCAATGGGAAATGAGCTGCTCTGCTCATTAGGCCTGACCCTCAACCAAGACTGTGGAGACTGTATTTTTGCTAACAGTTAACTACATCTTTGAACTATGTGATTACTGGCCAGCCCATGCCTGTGACAGAACAAAATAAATTTCCAATCACTTTACTTACTGCAAGGGGTATAAGAAGGCATCGTTTTCCATTCCACCCTGTATTCATCACATGCAGCACTGTTTCACCTCTGTTGCAGTTCGCCTTCTGCCCAAAACTACGTTATTCGCCTCAATCTCCACTTTGACAGAATTATACCACTTACGTAATTAATTTTGTAAATCACAGGGATTTAACTTTCTTTTTGCATGTAAATGCAAAGAAGCATAATGCAAATGGGTGGGTTTACACACCAATTACAGGCTGAAAGCACTTCCCCCCCCCCCAAATTAGGGGCAATTACAAACCATTTGGAGAATGAAAGCAACAGCAACAATGAACGTGAATCCCATTTGCTGAACTGATTTTTGCTCTGGAAATGGGTGAGTAATGGGGCAATTTCCGCTTCTGTTTCTGCCAGAATTCTCTGACATCCCTATTTGCTGCACTAGCCGCCTTCTCAGTCCACTTCCTATATTGGATGAAGCAGAATTTTGCCTAATGAAAGTTAATGGCTACAAGATACCAGCTACCAGGGCCAGCCCAAGACATTTTGCTGCCTAAGGTGACAAGATGGTGCCTCCCCCAATACACATAACAGATGATGACCAGAAAAATATTTATTTAATGTTGTCATGTCCTCCACCACACCTGAGGGCAAGAGATTGGCTGAGGATGTGCCGGGCAGACCATGTGGCACACACAGCACTGCCTTTTTTGTTGCTGCTCCCCTGCCCCTGGCTTCTGCCACCTGAGGTGGCTGCCACACTTTTCCCAATGATAGGGACGGCCCACCACTTACAGTTTCAAAGTACATTTAAATCTTTGAACAGTGTTTTACTTTGTCCCTGTTTTGAGCCGATTCCCAGTGTCATGTTCAACAAGTGCAACCATTGTGTGATCGTTTGGTGGTGTGGAGTAAGTAGCTAATTGCTATGAAGAGAGCTGCTTTATCAGATGAATGCAGTACCCTTCGGCGGAGAAAAGCAACGGAAGGATGATCTTCAATTTATGCACAGGTGATAGAAGACACTTGATAGTCATCACCTATCAGTGTGGCATCTATTCGGTAACTGGCCAGCCCAATAACCCATAATAACTGATGAGAGACATTCCATGCATCCACTTTATCAAACGATAAGCACAAGCAATTATCATGTGACTAAGGTAAGGTATAGAACTCAGTTATAACCTTTCTGTTTGGGTAACTAGCAGCTACACAGACTTTGTAAAATAAATGGAGGCAACCTTGGCTTTCTAAGCTCTGTTGTCTCATAATGTTGGTTCTGTAAATAGCACTGACTTGGCTACAAAGAACCTCTTCCACAATATTTTGTTAATGTGTGTGTATGTGTGGGGAACAGAGGAATAGAGAGACTCTGGTTTCCACGCTCTACCTTCTAAAACTTCTTCTCCACAATATCCCATTAGGGAGGGGAATTTGGTTCACTTTGCATATTCAAACTTCCCCAAACAAGAAATGAACTGAAATGCAGCCATCCTGAGAAATTTGCACTTCTCCAAATTTTGAAGTGCAGTTTCCCAGAGAAGCAATATCCAGAAAAATGTGCACAATGGGGGAAAGTATGTATAAAAAGGCATATATTAATGAAAATAACATACAAAAAAAGTGTTTTATTAGGCAAAAATGTATGTATGACAATAAATGAGCTCTCAGATGCTGATAGATTTTCATGAGGACTTATTCAATTTAAAAAAATGTGAATTGATGAAGAAACATGGAGGAATGAACCTAAGACTGGAAAAATGAGAGAAATCAAAATTGACAGATTTGTTCATAGCTACAGCTCAAAACTTGCTGAAGGGTGCCTGGCCATCAGAACTGGCTTTTTAGTGGGGGACAAAATATGCTGCAGTGGGAAAGAGGTGATGGGAAAGGAGAATTTTGGTCTCTGGGCCCAAAGCTAGGGATGTAAGAAGGAATCATTTCCTGTTCAGCACTGTGTTAATTGCATGCAGCACTGTTTCTGTTCTACTGCAGTTTAACTTCTGCCAAACACTATGTTATTTATCTCTCTGCCCGCTGTGGTGAAATTACATAATGTACATAATTTATTATGTAAGTTCTATCACCATCCTCTTATTCCACCTCATTAATTTCCTTGTAAAGGAAGCAGAACGCAAATGGGAGAGAGGCAATCAATTACATATTGTTCTGGAACTAAAGGCAGCAACAGCAAATACTAATATCTGCTGTACTGATTTCCATTTTGGACATGGAACGGATTAAAAAAAAATAATTAGCAATTTCCATTCCTGCTTCTGCTTATGTCGGAATTCTCTGACAGTCTTCATCTAAGCTATTTTCCACCATAGCAAGTGAGAATTTGTAGGTGGGGGAGAGAGAGAGAGACTGGGGGAAGGGAGGAAGATTCTGGACCTGTAGAAAAATAATTTCAAAGGAAAAGAAATATGCACAAAAAGCAATTCATCTCACCCTAATTTCCAGACCCTCCACATAATTTTATAGTGAACAACAGCAATGAACCTCTGCCTCTATAGAGGAAGCAGCCTTTGAGTGTTGTCTAAGTTTTCAAATTTATGGACAGAAGGGTTTCTAATTAAGTCCTGCCATTATTTTTTTGCAGAACATCTTGGTGGAGGAAATATATAGCTCATCCCCTCCCTGCCAGGATCTTTAAACAATTTTAATGGCTTTCTCTACCTCCAGCAGAAAACAAAAAAAAAAGAACTTTTTTAAAGTAAAGAACTCACCAAATAAAGCAGTGCTAGAATATTACACTTGAGAGTAATCCCACAGGGGCTCAACTAGGGCACGTTTGAGTGTCATGAAATTGGTTGCCGCCCCACCCAACACAGAACACCAGTTCATGCACTCATCAGGCCTTCAGAGAACTGGGCTACCTGAAGGGAATTAAGCTTCTCTGTGTTGGGCCACTTTTAGAAGAGGAAAACAGGTTAACAATCCATCTGTGCGGTAGAGACGAAAGGATTGTAATGCTCTTCCACCACAATGGCTACAGTAGATGTGACATTTGTTTGCCCTTGCATCATTTTTTTTAATAGCCAGCATTGGGGATCTAGGGTTGTTGGGCTTGTGGAATGGGTAGCGGGACAGGGGGTCTTGGGAAATAGCGTTTCCCATGACCCTTAACTGGAAATAGTATTTGCCAGGATCCTTATAAAGGATGCCAAGGACTGAGCCTGAGACCTTCTGCATGCAAACCAGGTTGTTGGGCCTGTGGAATGGGTAGCGGGACAGGGGGGTCTTGGGAAATAGTGTTTCCCATGACCCTTAACTGGAAACAGGATTTGCCAGGATCCCAAGGACAGGATGCCAAGGACTGAGCCTGAGACCTTCTTCATGCAAACCAGGTTCTTTATCACTGTTGTGGTCTTTCCTGCTCACAAAATATCACACTAGGCATGCATTAGCAGGAGGACCATATCCCTGCGTTTAAATAAAAAAGGGAGATTGGATTACACACTTTGCTATAATTCAGGCTCTCCCAATCTGGTGCCCTTCAGATTTCAGACCACAACTCCCATCATCCTGGCTATGCCAATTGGGGCTGATGGGAGTTGGAATCCAAAACATATGGAGGGCACCAGGATGGAAAGGTTGCTTTAGTAACAGGTTAAAATAAAAACCTTTCTAAAACAAATTGTTGTTGTTGTTGTGCAATTTAGTCTTGACTACATCCAAGGACATTTCCCATAGAACCTTTTGGAAAGGCTCACTTCCCCACTCCCCCTCAAGGAAATCTAAAATGGTGTCCCTGATCAAGACAGATGAGATCCTTTCCTGCTACGCTGCACCTTTGAATATCACATCCTTTCTCAGATGACACACAGACACTGCTAAATCTGTTCTTGGATTCAGTTATCAAACAGCCCTTGAATTGGTGTGACAGCCTGGAGAGATAAGCATTAGTTGATGTTATCTCCAGAAATGGAAGCAAAAAAAAGTACACTTTTCCAATTTGCACATTCTCCAACATTGCGGCGTGATATTTACACAGTACCTGTCCCAGCCCAGAACTAATATAGTCCAGCTTAGCACCATGATCTGGGAGATTTCAACTGCTCGGTCTCTTCCGGCATTGAGCTTATGGTGACAATGTCCATTGAAGTCCCAGATCTGCAATTTAAATTAGGAAAACAATATGTCAAAAAACAAAGTAGGCAATGTCTCTTGGTAATTTCAGAAGCAACACATCAAAACATGCAAGAACATAAACATTGCTAAGACATGCTACATAGACCTATTTAATGTAGGTGGGGGGTGGAACATTGCTTGTTGGTAGGACACAGGAGATCATGCAGGAGATCCCAGCTTTTACATGCAGTGGGAAGGACTCTGCTGGGTGAGACTGATGTGCTCACACTTCTAGAAAAAATGCAGTAGCTTTTCTCAGTACAGTTATGGAAGAATAAAGCTGAGTAAGAGGACATTCATGAACCTGGACCAGGCTAAACCTAGGGGCTATGCAGATGCTGAAGTCCAAAAGATGCTGGTGTACTCCAGTTCCCATCATCCCTGACTATTGGCCATGCTGGTTGGGGCTGATCAGAGTTGGAGGCCAACAACCTGTGGAAGACCACAGGTTCCCCATTCCTAATGCACAGTGGAACTGCAAGAGGAATAGTGGGGTGAGATCTCTGTGGACTCAGCTATATATCTGCAAAGAAAACATTTTAAGTGTGTTTTAAGTGTAGTATACAATGTGACACTAAGATGGCGATGAGCTTTATGGAAAATTCAATGTGTTTTTTAAAACGCTTTTTTAAAAAAGGCATTTTCAGAATGTTTTTATATGTGTGTAGATTCCACCTGTGTGTTCAGCTGAATGTCTCAGTGGATTTTACATGTGTACAACTGTACAAACATTGGGTTCTTATCTTGCAAGCAGGAATACGGGTATATGGGTCTCATGCAAATGTTCAGCTGAGCACACAGAGGTTATGGGTGAGGGCCCTAAGCACATTCACTGTATGTAGTTGTAACATCTGCATGGGATTTTAGCCATTACCAACTCAATTTGGGCATCAATAACTTTAGCTGGAATGGAACAATGGCTTTTGAAAACACAGCCCTGATTTTCTTAAACCAGTAGGGTTGCAATCCTAAACTGACTGAACTGGGAGAATGCCTCAATGAATTCAATAGGGCTTAATCAGTGCTTTTTTTCCTAAATAAATGTTTAGGGATACTTTCATTTTGACTCAAGAAAATCACCATTTTATAGTTCAAATCAGGGAGAATAAATACAGTCATACCTAGGGTTAAAAACGCTTCAGGTTAAATCTTTTCAGGTTGCGTCCTGGGGCGACCCGGAAGTAACGGAACAGGTTACTTCCGGGTTTCGCCGCTCGCGCATGCGCAGACTCTCAGAATGACGTCACGCGCACGCACAGACGCAGCAAATCGTGACCCGCGCACGCGCAGATGTGGGTTGCGTTCTGCTCATGATGCAAATGGGGCTCCGGAACGGATCCCATTCGCATCCAGAGGTACCACTTTACAGTAAATGGCCAAAAGTACAAAGATTCACAAAATGTTTAGGGGCCTGTGTACCCCCATGTCCCCCCAGAAAAAAAAGCAATGGGCTTACTTCTGAATCAATATGATCAGGACTGCAGCCTAAGAGATTTCATTGCTTTACACAATGGGTATGGAAATTATGGTCCTTAACAACAATTCCCCTTATTGGTTCAGCTAAGCAGGAAAGTGATATCTGCTTAGCAAAATAAACAAAGATCTTTTTAGTGGTTGGAATATGAGGCCCAGAATGAAGGATTAGCACCATAGGCCTCCTACAGATAACCCACCTCTGCACCAAAAATCTAGTCTTCCATGGTGAGTTGGATTTCCCCTCTCCAGCAGCACTTTCAGCTGTTGCAAACTTTCTGCCTCCCATACTTCAGGGACTGATCTCTCATGAAGCCAGGGAACTCGGAGGTCTGTAAATGATCTGTGACTATCGTCGAAGGGGGGAGTCAAATTTGGATTGGACTTGATATGAGACAAGCCATTTCCTGCTTTGTTTGGTATGGCTTGGCTTATTTCCAATCTAATTCAGTGTGAGCTCCATCAATCTCTACTATAATTATTCTGCCGTGATTCCTGTTAGGCAGACAATAATTGCCAGCCAGAAGAACTGACCACATGGAAATAAAATATTGGTATTTATTTTGTATTTATATCATCATTCCTTTCCTTTGCTAACAAGGGTGGGTAAAAACATGCCTTGTATGCAAAACTCCAGTAATCCCAAAAGCTTTTTAATTGCTGCTAATTAAAGCAGGAAAGGTTTCCTGAACTGAAGGAATTATGTGCTGAATTAAGCATAAATGGTTGAAGAGCTGTTGCACTTCTGCATAACTCTCAAAGCACTTTCCACTGGAGGTTAAAACATTATCTCCATTTTTGTAGGCAAGGATAGACCATAATCTTTTCAACATGCATGTGGTGCGTTGAATAACTTTATGCTTCTCCTTACCACCCCTTCTCATCGAAAGCTAGCCCGTCAAGGAGCCAAGTCTTTGATCTAACATGCTTGGCTTTTATTATGTAAGAGTTTCTAATGTAAAAAACACTCCAAAAATGTAGCATCCCAACTACATTCTGAAGTACTATCACCATGCCTTCTCCATCCCACTTAAGGCAGAGAACACTTTTTATTCTATATAAAGCTGGCAATTGAAATACCGGTAATGGATCGGGTCTTGACAAAGTGAACTCAACAAAGGTTCCATTGAAACCAATGGGATAAATTCATGGGGGGAAATTCAAATAAACTCCAGCCCAATCTAAATATATAAAAAAATAAAAAAAATTGTCCAGTAGCACCCTAAAGGTAAAGGGACCCCTGACCATTAGGTCCAGTCTTGGCCGACTCTGGGGTTGCGGCGCTCATCTTGCTTTGTTGGCCGAGGGAGCCAGCGTACAGCTTCCAGGTCATGTGGCCAGCATGACTAAGCCGCTTCTGCTGAACCAGAGCAGTGCACGGAAACGCCGTTTACCTTCCCGCCGGAGCACTACCTATTTATCTACTTGCACTTTGACGTGCTTTCAAACTGCTAGGTTGGCAGGAGCAGGGACCGAGCAACAGGAGCTCAACCCGTCGCGGGGATTCAAACCGCCAACCTTCTGATCAACAAGTCCTAGGCTCTGTGGTTTAACCCACAGTGCCACCCACGTCCCTAGTAGCACCTTAGAGACCAACTAAGTTTGTTCTTGGTATAAGCTTTCATCTGCATGCACACTTCTTCAGATACACAGATTCCAGCCCAATCTGTTTCCCTTTACCATTTTGTCATTCCAGAATCCAGTTGCTAATATTTGCCCCCTGCAACTCCTGCAACAGAGCCGTGCACTGTTGTTAGCCCATGTATTCTGCGAAATTGCATGTCGAGTGCAGCGGCTTCTCCCCCAACACAAACACATACACACCTTTACGGTTCCATCTGTGCTTCCGGTGAAGAGTCTGGTCTGAGTCCCATTGAGAGCCATAGTACTGATCTCAGCATTGCCATGGCAACCTGTAAACTCTTTGATTTTCTGCCCAGTATCAATCAGCCAGAAGATAACAGTAGATCCAGCATCTGAGCTGATTACCTAAGGAAGAAGGAGGGGGAGAGAGTTTCTGGAATGAAAACCTTGCTTGTTTGCTCTCCGCATCTCCTTCCACACAAACACCTTCATTACTATAATCTTACACATACGTGAACTTCACTTATATAATTGCCAACATTTGAAATGCAAATCCGAAAAATGTCGGCATTGATTTTCTCATCTTCTTCCTTTCAACTCATTAGAAGATTTATCTCCCCCTCCCTATTAAAGTTTATGGACTGCTTCTTATCCTATCTTAAATACCTGCCTTCCCAGCAAGCTCCGTTTAACTAAAGAATAATGATTTAACTGCCATTATCATTCAAGGGAGAAAAGAGGTGACTTGTTCCTTCTGCAGATAATACCCCAATCCAGAGGGGGACAATGTGTCCTCAACAGCAAGAAGTCCAACAGAGAATTTTCCAGCTGAAATAATAAGGGTGCAGCAGGCAAAGCGCTTTGTACAGTGCCATGAGATAAAGCAGCCTCACTTTATCACAGCAATTGATCCATTGAGTAATGGATCTTTAAAGCTGATCTAGGAAATGTCTCAGTATGCATTAGTTTAATTTAAAAATTTAACTGTGTGGTCAGATTGGAAGAAAGTCCATTTGGAGACAGATCATGCTCAGTCTCCTATGATAGCTTTAAGTCCAGGGCATGCTATGTTACTCATAAAATTACATTTTCTTTGCCATTTTATGTGTGATTCATTGCAGAAGAGTCAGAGCCTATCAGTCTTATTCTGGCACAGGGATAGACAACCTCTCCCATCTTGCAGCTTTAAAAGTCCGAGTGACAAAAGCAATATATGGTTTTTCAACATGGACATATTTGGGGGGGGTTACGTTCTGGACCCCCACACACACTGACCTGCGTAAGGCAGTCCAGCACCATTCTGCCCATGCTCCCCGACCTGTTTTACCCCTTTCTCTGATGTTCTTGTGACATTTTCAGGTGTCTCCCAGGTTTGGTACAATGCTTGTGTGCGTGGTCACACACAATGTTGGACACGCGTAAAAAGGTCACTGCCTGTACTCAGAGAATTGTACCCAACTAACTCATACTCTGTGGTCTAAACCACAGAGTCTAGGACTTGCCAATCAGAAGGTCGGTGGTTCGAATCCCCGCGACGGGGTGAGCTCCCGTTGCTCGGTCCCTGCTCCTGCCAACCTAGCAGTTCAAAAGCACGCCAGTGCAAGTAGATAAATAAGTACCGCTCTGACGGGAAGGTAAATGCCATTTCCATGCGCTGCTCTGGTTCTTCAGAAGTGGCTTAGTCATGCTGGCCACATGACCCAGAAGCTGCACGCCGGCTCCCTTGGCCAATAAAGCGAGATGAGTGCCGCAACCCCAGAGTCGGTCATGACTGGACCTAATGGTCAGGGGTCCCTTTACTTTTACCTAACCCATACTCAAGAGAAGACCCACTAAAATCAGTGAGCTTGACAAATTTGTATACTGATTTTAGTAGGTCTGTTCTGAGCATGACTTACAACCTAGAATAGTATCTACTCAACATACCTAAAAATCAAAGCGAGAGAAGGCTGCTATTTGGGGATATGGTATCGGAGTCCTCAGAGGACGAACCAGATACCCCACAGGTTAAGGATCTTGAGGATGTTATAAGAAAAAACTGCTCCATTTCCTTTATGGGGTGCCCAAGACCCCTTATAGAGTCCTTAATTAGGTTCCCTATCGGTAGGAGAAAATAACAGAGGCCAACCAGAGAATATTGAGAAGCAAAGCAGCTAGTAAGCCTGATCTTTATTAAACAGTTGCAACATGGTCCTCACTCAACACACTCAGGAGGGAGGAGGAACCCAGAACACTGGTGTGCAAGCCCTTACATAGAAATTGCCCACCCTGTAGCTCAAGACCACCACCCCAAAACATCATACATACATCACAGAAGGAGGCGGTCTACGGCAGAAATCCTGTCTGCCAGGAAACCTGTTAATGGTCAGTGATTGCCCTACCTGGGCAGCCTGGCCATTCTTTTGTGATGGTTAATACTTTAGTTCCTGAATCCAGGTCACAGGCTCACCCTATTCATACACAAATATGCCCTTAAGACAGGATTTGTAAGCAAGAAGACAAAGGGAAGGCTTTCCCCATTTTCTCCCTCCTTGCAGAGAAATATATCAAGGTCAATTTGGGAGCGTCAAAATGGCTTCAGGATTGCTCTCCTGTACTATTTCGGACACGTGGTTTATATACTTATGTGTGTGTTTGCCTTGTACATTTATGAATGTATTTAATATTTGAAACCTTAGATGAAACCTTAGAATTCTTATAACGAGGAGGAGACAGAGTCCCCTGGAAACTGTGCTGAAGATCCACTGGGTTGAGATCTAGCAATGAACATGTAGAGATCTTAGAGGTGGTCCCAGTTATCAAGAACACTGGCACCAAAAGGTCCTGGTCTAGACTGGAGGGATGTGATACAGCGTGCTTCTATGGACCTAGAGTCACTGTGTGGCTTGCGAGTAAGGGCTCTCTTTTCCCTGTTGTGCCTTGTTCGAACTCCCTGTGATAGTGAACTTGGATTATTGTCCAGTGGTGCCTGTGGATCATATTTTGGACCTCGACTGATTTTCCATGTTTGATCCTGCTTTCTCTGCACTGTGCCTGCAACCCTGGCCTTGCAGAAGGCTGTCTCATTAGTGGCACCTGCCCTGTGGAACGCCCTCCCACCAGATGTCAAGGAAATAAACAACTCTCTGACTTTTAGAAGACATCTGAAGGCAGCCCTGTTTAGGGAAGTTTTTAATGTTCAATGTTTTATTGTGTTTTTATTTAATATTTTGTTGGAAGCCATCCAGACTGGCTGGGGAGGACCGGCCAGATGGGCAGGGTATAAGTAATAGTTGTTGTTGTTGTTGTTGTTGTTGTTGTTGTTGTTGTTGTTGTTGTTGTTGTTGTAAGAGGCTTACACCTCCTAGGGACTTGGATCCTCATCTCTGAGGGCAAAGATCCACTGAAGCAAAGCAATACCTTTGGGGGTAGGTATGAAAAACCACATTTTTTACTGCAATTGCTTGGAGTTTTCCATTCCCACCCCCCATAAAATGACTAGCCTATAATCGCTTGAGACCCTGTTATTTGAAATATTGGCTACAACCATATTAACTTACCCTGGCATTAAGTTACTCATCAGAAAACCTTCTCTGGTTGCCTTTGCTTTCAGGCACAAGGCAGGTGAGAACAATGAAATTTTAATTGGTGGTGTCCTGTTTATGGGATGTCCTCCCTCAAGAGGCCTGCCGGGTATTTCCTTGTTGACTTTTGGGTTGTCTGAACTGAACAATAATTTAGTTTTATCAACCCTAACTTTTACATTGAGTGCTTTTTTTGTTAGTATATATTTATTTATACCCTGGCTTTCTCCCTGTCAGAGACTCCAAGCAGCTTACAGATAAAAATAAGAACAGCTGACAAAAATAAAAGCAACTGTTAAAAACAATTAAGCATTGTTAGAATCAAAACTATATATGCAAACATTAAAAATCTATTAAAACCATACAGATAATTACAATAAAAACAGCACACCCAAGCCCTTTCATTAGAAGCAGTCAGCCAAAAAGCCTATTGGGACAGGAAAGGCTTCACTTGCTGGTGGAAGGACAACAAGGAGGGAGCCAGTCCAGCTTCTCTGGGGAGGGAATTGGAAAGGCTGGGAGCCGCCACCAAGAAGGCCCTCTCCCATGTCCCCACCAAGCGTTCCTGTGAAGCTGGCAGGACCAACAGAAGGGTCTCTCCTGAAGTTCTCAAAACCCAGCCAGGTTCATATGAGGGAATGTGGTCTTCCAGGTAGCTTGGACCGAAGCCATGTAGGCCTTTATAGGTCATAACCAGCACTTTGAATTGTGCCCAGAAACAGATTGGTAGTCAGTGGAGCTATTTTAACAAAGGAGTCATTTGCCTTGGCTGCTATAGTATCATGGTTTTCCTATTTTTGCTGCCATGAGTGTTGATCTCTTGAGTTTCTGCTGCTAACCCATTTAATCTTTTGAGCGGTTGTGGCGTTTTCAGTGTGTTTTGGATTTATTGCAAGCTGCACTGGACATTTTATCTGGAAATTCAAAAGCGGAATTTAAACCTTTGGAATCAAAACAGGTCTGTTCCGAACACAAGATAAATGTTGTTTGCTAGCCTACAATAGCAATGGTTGTTATAGCAGTCAAACCTAGGCTAATGAGGGGTTTAGCACAGTTACCTACTGTCAGAGCTGCTTCCAGGTCCCAGCTCACAGAGGACCACACTAGCCGGCAGTAATGTACAAAAGTCTTTATTGAGTTACAGTTTCCATTTCCAAGCCGCAGCGCGCAGCTCTACGTCTTAGAAGCTAGACCGGCGAAGCTCCGTCTGAGTCTCCGCCTCCTGTACACCAACTTAATACTCTAGCCTTACTCCACCTCTTCCGTCTTTCCTTCCTCCTCTGGGTCCCTCTGCCCCCCGTGGTCTCTTCCTTTCTGGACTCTTCTGACGCTGACCCCCCGGACTCTTCTCCCTCCTTTCAGCGGGCTTTAGGACCTGGCTCCCTATCCGGGCTGCTTACTGTGCCGCCTTCCTGTGCATTTGAACTTGGCGCGCGCGCCCAGCCTTCAACCTTCCTCTTGACCGTTTCCTCGCTCCCCGATGGAGATGTGGCCAATCCTGACTCATGCCCTCCCGCTTGCGGCGAGCCGCCTGATCCCGATACCTGGGACTCCTCCCCCCTACTGCGCTCTGGTGGGGAAGCTGGTCCCGATTTCCAACTGCTGCTCTCTGAGTCCCCTCTGGTCCCTTCTTCCTGGGGTGTCCCCCTAGGCGCCCCCCTTGCTCTGACCACTGGCGCCCCTTTCTGTGAATCTTCCGATTCACTGGAAAGACTCAGAGATCTCGGGCCGCTGTCATCGCTCATATTTCCTTCGGATTCCTCCCCCTCGCTCTCTGTTTCCTCCCTTTCCTGTGCCTCTGCTCCTGAACCCCTGACACCTACATTTAATCACAACCCCACT